GCAGGCGAAACAGCGAGTGAAGAAGACGATGCCTTTGTTCACTGGGTGCACTATGTGCGTCGCCTCAGCAACATTTTTGCTCTAAGGGCTAGTGCCCATGCGGCGGATGTGCGTCTCGAACGCAAGCTTCGGTATGATTATGCCAAGCTTAAGGCCAGAGGCCAATTGCGCAAGCGCACGCGCTATGCTTCGGCTACTAAGGTAGCCGCGAGTGCTGGTCAGTCTGTGACCAATAACCCGCCAACCCGCACCACTAGTGGTGGTGAACGGCCTCGGCCTCGAGATGACCATGGCCACGATGCTCAAAAGCCTCCAAAGCATATGGGCAGTCTTGCCGAACGGGTACCTCAAATTCCCATGAGTTTTCAGACTCAGGGTACCCACTCCACTTTACCAGATACTGGTATTGGCCCTGACGACGACGTCGTTTCAGTAGTCTCTCGACATGGAATTGACGACACCCATGCTCATCGAGCAAAGTCGGTGGCGGCCGGTGTACTGGTGGAGGCCCACGAGAAATTGGTTCTCGAAGTGAAGGGTCTTCGTGAGGCCTTTGGTAAGTCCCAGTGCATGCTGGATGCGATGCAAAGCCGCCTTCAGGCGATGGAGCAAGCTCAAACTCGGAGCGAGGCTCAGTTGGACTTGCTGATTCGTCTACAGCAATCTGGGGCAGTGCCCTTGTCGTCGGCGCAAGCGCCTCCAAGTTCACATGGGAAGGATCCCGGTACGGCTTAAGTAAGCCTACGTAGAACACTGGATGTGTGCGCAATTTGCGCGGGAGGTTTAGCGTATACGCAAGTCCCTTCTTGGCCGTGACCGCAAACGTTCCAATAAAGCGTGGAGGCAACTTTGTCTTAAAGACAGCAGACACTACATTTGTAGGTAGATTTTTAGCATTGAGTAGTACTTGGTCTCCGACCTCATAACGTTCAATACAATTTCTGCCTTTGGCATCAGCTTGTTGTTTTTGGGTATCTTGGCTATCAGCCATTGCGTCACGCACATGTCTTGAGACATTTAATCGCGTTGCGAGAAACTCGCTTACCTGTTTTTGAACAGTAGCAGGGCTGATATCAGCAAGCCGATCGGCAACCTCTCCCCCACCAAGCCCTGATTCACGTAGTGATAGCGTTAACGGAACGCGAGGGTGAGTGAGACCGTTTATATAGAACGGAGTAAAGCCTGTTGAGGCATGAACAGCATTATTTAACGCAAACTCAACAACAGGGAGCATTGAGCTCCAATGCCTAGGCGTATCAGCGCAAACACTGCGCAAAATGTCGTTGATGACGCGGTTTACACGCTCAGTTTGACCGTCGGTCTGCGGATGATCCGCTGTGGACATGTCCAACCGAGTGCCAAGCACCTTGAAGATAGACTTCCAAAACTTCCCAGTGAAGCGGGGGTCTCTATCAGAGATAATTGCCACAGGCAAGCCATGTTGGCGAAAGACACGGTCGATAAACAGCTTTGCTGTACCTTCAGCATCAATGCTATCCGGCACAGCCGCTAAGTGAGCCATCTTGCTCAATCGGTCAACAAAGACCACAATACCAGTGTTGACTTCCGAATCTTTCGGTAGGCCAAACACAAAATCCATGCTCATGGACTCCCAACAACCACTGGGTACCGGCAAACTAGCCAGCGGCGCCGCCGCATGTGCCGAGGGTTTTACCCGTTGACACGTTTCGCACGTACGCACATAGGTGCGCACCCACTAATAAAGTTTGGGCCACCAATAACTTTGGCTCACCGAGCTATAAGTCTTCTCACGACCGAGATGACCACTTAAAGCAGTATCATGTGCCTCATAGAGGATCCGATACTTTAGTTCCTCATCATGAGGTACAACGATACGAGGGTTGTCCTCAATATCCGTGCGATAGCACAACAGGCCATTATCGATGGAATATCGATGTAGCCTCGCACGTAAACGTGCCGACAATTATATGTCCGAGTCTTTAAACTCATCGCTCCCAAGATCACGTAGCAAAGCTACACACTGATCGTCCTTGGCATATGCCGCACGAATTAAGTCAGGGACTGACGACGATAGGGTCGTAACATGAGCAAGCTCATAGTCAGGTCGACGCGATAGCGCATCAGCCAAAGCGTTTTGCTTACCTGGCTTGTACTTCACCTCGAAGTTATATTCGGCAAAGAATGAAAGCCAACGAGCCATTCTCTGTGAGAGATGAGGCGACTGTGTCGCAGTGCGCAATGACGCATGATCGGTATAGATCACAAATGGCTTCGAGCCAATCAGATGGACTCTGAATTTGACAAGAGCGTACTTCATAGCAAGTAGCTCTTTGTCATGAACAGGATAGTTCTTTTCAGCAGCTTTCAGCTGTCGAGATTCAAATGCGATGACGCGTTCGCGTCCGTCGACATCTGTTTGTAACAGAGCACTGCCTATGGCAAAGTCAGATGCGTCACAGACGACACTGAAAGGCCGACCAGAATCGGGCAAAGCCAATATTGGCGCATGAAGGAGACTCTCCTTAACTGCTTCAAAAGCATTATGTTCGGTGTTACCCCAACACCAACCCACATCCTTTTTAAGGAGATTGGACAATGGCCGAGCCATATCTGCGTAATTTGCACTGTACTTATGTAAGTAATTGGCAAGGCCAAGCCACTTACGCAAGTCCTTTTGGTTCTTGGGGACTGGCCAATCGACTATGGCTTTTACCTTAGCGGGATCCGCTCGAAGGCCTCGCTTCCCAATGAAGCACCCTAGAAAGGGAATCTCTTCTGCACCAAAGATGCACTTCGATGCGTTCGCATACAGCTTATTCATCCGCATACACCCGAGCACCGCTCGTAAATGATCGATGTGATTATCCACATCTGATCGCCCATTCATTGCACGACTATGGACAAAAATATCATCAAAGTACGTTTGTGCATAGCCTCGATGAGGTCTGAATAGTTGTGTTACCAACCGGTTAAATGTAGCCGGGGCGTTAGATAGCCCTTGTGGCATAACGAGCCACTCCCAAAGCATACCGCTCGGAGTACTCACCGCTGTTAGCGTAATATCGCTTGCTCCATGAGCAGTTGGTAATAACCATCGACTAAGTCGAGTGCACTGCACAGTGTACATCCCGCCATATTGTTCTGAAGAACATCCTTTCTAGGAATAGGCGTCTGCGCCGTTATAGTGGCTGCATTAAGCTTATTGTAAGCATGCACAATACGCCACTTGCCATTTGGCTTTCTGACACAAAATGTCGGTGGGGAGATTTACTCTCACGAACCATTCCAGCCGCGTGCTTAGCACGAAAGAAATCGTCAATGACGTCGCACTGTTCTTTAGGCAAAGGCCACTGCCGTGTTACACAGTATTTAGTTCCAGGAACCAAGTCAATCTCATGACGTACACCTCTATCGGGAGGTAAGGCAGAAGGTGGGTTGTGACACACCACATCTTGAAATTCCTTGACTAAAGGATAGAACGGATCCAAAGGATCTTTAAGGATCGAAGATCCACTTCGTGCACTAAGTGCCGCCTTTGTATCCTCTAGGACAGACTCATCCATTAGCGAGGAAGAATTTAAGTCAGTATCAGGTCTAATGATTGCTAACTCGGATAACTCTCCTGCCTTCAAGGCCTGGCTAAACTCGCCATCAGACATTTCGTCTAGCTCACACAGAGCGTCCACAGATGGAAGGGTTTCGAGACACACATTGCCATTAACCTGACCAGTCAATCCATTAACAAGTGTATATAGTGTATTGCTAATCTCACTATGTGACTGTGAGGACGCCTGGCGCTTTACAGCTGCTAGTCGGCGTCTCGATTGTCTCTTCGAGACCTTACACCCCTTAGGGGTCGGGACAATATTGTCCCCATGGTTACTACCAACCATAGTACGCTCTACACGAGAGCTTTTGTCTTGACCGACATTAGGTGTGGTGCCCTCACGGCCGTCCACACTATACGGCGTATCGCCAACAGTGTCATTACTGACATTAGGTGTGGTGCCCTTACGGCCGCCCACACTATATGGCGTATCGCCAACAACGCCATTACCGGCGTTAAGCGTGGTGCCCTCACGGCCGTCCACTCTATACGGCGTATCGCCAACAATATCTTTACTGACATTAGGTGTGGTGCCCTCACGGCCGCCCACACCATATGGCGAATCGCCAACAACGCCATTACCGACATTCAGTGCGGTGCTCTCACGGCCGACCGCACTCGGTGTAATTTCACGTGCCACCATACACACATCAAAGGAATCACGTCCTTGATCACTCGGCCCTAGGCCAACCATGCTTTCAGCATACAGTGACTCGTTATCACAACGAGTACCACTCAACGGAGTACGTGCCGTTTCACTAGTTTTAGACGAGCTAGGCTCGAAACTTATGTTTTTAACATTGGAGTTAAATAACTCGGACATTCCAATATCCAGCACATTGACATCTTCTGTCAAAGGCTCGCGCCAATAGCGCTTCTGCTGCCTAGCAAAGGTGGGTTCATGACTCTCCAAAGCTTCGCTAGGAACATTGCGCGTAGCGCCTAAGGTCTTAGACCTCCAATCAATCCATGGCTCATGGCGCTCAAGCCAAGCCATACCTAGGATGAGATCATATCTCGAGTCCAAATCTAGGACAAGACAGCGCTCAATACTGTCAAAGTCTAAAAACTTTATACCTAAGTTCAATGGAACTTTAGGCACCGTTACGCGACTTCCAGTCGCTAAACGAACCGTGATAGAATCACCCTCATGCGCTGTTAGCGCCTCAGCATAACGCTGACTTCCCTCAAGAGAACGGCGTCGAGCATAATTGCAAGACGCTCCAGAATCGATCAATATCGACCAAGGCTTCTCGAAGCCCTTAATTTTCGCCTCGGCGACCAACAAGCCAGACTTGTATCCACGCACCATACCCGTAGGTATGGTACTCTTTGGGGCTAAGCCCTGCAACCCCTTAACCTTCTAAAGGTGTAACAGAACATAGTTCTTCCCCAGTAGGGCGCCCCGCGCCTACTGGGTGTCGGCATTTCCCCGTGCCATGCCAGACTTCTGACTCGGGCTCGAGTGTTGGCTCGTAGTCTGGCGTTGCTTACGCAAAGGGCAACCAGGCCGCAAGTGTTTAGTGCTTCCGCACGTAAAGCATCGTCTTACAACGTGTTTCTGCTCAGCAGCTTGAAGCTCAGCTTCACCTCCATCTTCAGCATAGCTGAGATCCATCGGTTCCGGCCTATTATAGGCAGTGGTACCCGAATAGTTTGCTCTCACAGAGCGAGGATTGTATCCGTTCCAACCAAGTCTGGCCGACTTGAAGTTATGCTCAGCATTAAGAGCAATTCTCACAGCCTCTTCAAACGTAGAGGGGTGAACCCGAAAAACTTCGGTTCTGGCAATGCCAGTACGTAGACCTTCCATGAAGATAGTCACATGGACTGCTTCAGGCAAAGGGTCAGACTGCATTGCAGCCATGAGCGTTCGCAGCTCTTGGACATAGTCCGATAATTCATTCTTACCCTGGCGGGTAGAAAGAAAGCGTGAGCGCACGCGGTAAGCCTGGTTAGGTGGAGAAACACCTGTACCAATTGTAACTTGAGCGACTCCCATGTGGGAAACGCCATGTCCACCGACGTGCTACACGTCAAGGCCCATTCTCTAGCTCTCATATCGAGCTTCGAGATAGCCGGCGAGACCTGTTGATGGTCAAGCGTGATCAGACCTGATCTCATGGCCATCTCGATCTCACGGATCCAGAGGATGGGGTTCTCACCCTCCTTACCGGAGTAGTTTTTTACTTCCACTCTAAGTGGACGAGGCTTAGCCTCTTCGTCTGGTACAGACGCATAGCGTGTAGGCATAGCCGACGCTATTTGGTCTTGGACTTGCCCTAAAAGGGTCGCTTCATACTGCATGAAGCTTTCAACACGTGCATTAAGCACTTCAGGACCTTGTGAAACAAGGAACTCCACGTACTCTGGACCCAAAGATGCGGTCAGCTTATCAAGCGCGACCTTTTGGGCCTCAGATAGGGGAGTGATGTTTTCCATCCTCACAGAGGATCAGTCTTAAAGACTCAGGCGTAGATTGACTACAAGTGCTACCAAGTGTAGCGGAGCTACACAGCTCCTTAAGTCAGAGGAAGACTTAACGCTCTACGAGCAACTTAGTTCTAAAGAACTAACGACTTTACGAGTCAAAAAGCTTTATAGCTTCAGATCCCTGTTCCAGGGGACCTAACGATTCAGTGAATCGACAGCACTTAGTGCTCAAGAGTAGCTACCTCAAGGAGGTGTCGCTAACTCTCAGTGATCAGAGATCAACGATCAAGACGGCTCGCAAGCCACGTGCCTTTCAGATCAAAATGGGAACTGATTTTATTTTTGTTAAAGCCTATAGAATATCTTAATCCTACTCAAAGATCTTTCGTATCTAATGGCTGACACTCGTCAGCCCCTACAAACCGATAAGATATTCTATATGACCTTCACAGAAGCGAACCCTCAGGTGTGTAACACCTCTGGTACAAAGTACCATGATTTCGTGCAACCCTGTTACACAATGTGCTCACTGCGAGTGAGCACATCGATGCGTGGGCGCAAATCTAAAAGTGACTGAACCGCTGGTAAAATCGGGGCGTTTTGCGACCACTATGTGACGGTTGTCTTCAAAATTAGAGACGCATCATAGCAATGAAGCGGTTTGTCATACCATGTTACAGCTAAGTCTAACGTGGCGACCACTTCATCCGTTTACACACTCAACACAAGTAAGTACAAATGCGATAAAATAGACTGGATTAAACTATAGGACTGCTTTTGGAACTGCTGGACATTTGTGGGACTGATTATGAGATTTGTTCCAGTCTGACCCCGGTACACTTCGCCTCGCACTCGAAAGTCATGACTTGGCACGCTCGAGCAAGTAGCGGCGACACGCGCAGCGCGCTCTTGCAGCCGCACCAGGTGCTCCTCTCCCACGACGATGCAGTTCTCCAGTCGATCCAACCGCTGGATCTCCTGCGTGTCCGCTTTGCATCGTCTCACTCGGTGCTCGTCTTGGAGAGCGTGGTCGACCGTCGCCCGTCAGCTGCTGGTGCCGGTGCTTCACTGCGTAGGGGACGCATTCAGCTGCATCTGTGGGCGTTGCAAGTCGCTGGAAAAGTGGAAGACACGAGGGTTACGCTCGAGCCTGTCGGAGTGGACGCTGAGGTTCACGCGGGCGCTCTGTCTTGGCGACTGTCGCTGAGTCTGCACACCCGCTTTCCGCCCCTTGCGGTCTCTGGAAGCGTGGACGATAGCGGATCTCGCGCTCAGTTGCTGCCCGAAAGCGTACATAAGCGACAGATTGATCTGGACAGAGCAGTGCGTCGTCAGCTGTGTGCTGCACGAGTGCTTGACGCTCCTCTGGAAGGACAACTGGTGCCGGTGAGGCTCCTGGGAGATACGTACGTCTTTCGGATCGACGGGGTCGAGAAGAAGCGAGAGTTGGATGGAAAGTTGCACCTGGTTGTGATAGGATGGAGTGCGACAGAGGAAGTTTTGGCTGATGAGCAGGCTACAGCAGAAGTGACGGAGAAGGTCGCGACGCTGAGCATGCGGGAAGAGCATTCCACCAGAGCGGCAGCTTCATCGTACGAGCGTGAGCTCAACACTCGGCTGTGGCAGACTGGCTTTGTAGGATGCACTGCGTTCGTGCGAGACGTGCTGTTTCAACTTGCCCTTGTGCTAAAGCACGAACAAAGGAGACTTGATACCGGTGTGGAGATGGACCAAATTGGCTCTCACGGGTTACTCATTTCGGGTGTACAAGGTGTGGGGAAGTCGCTAGCACTAGTGGCTTTGCAGCGGGAGCTTGTTCATGAGCAGATCGCCACGTGGCGGATTGACGGTATGTCGTTGCTCATGACGGCTGAAGGTTCAGCATTTCCAACAGCTTATGAGTACTTGGTCTACGCACTGGAGCAGCGCTTTCCCCGATTACGATCTCTAGTTGACGTCGAGACCAAACGCGGGTCATCATCATGTGTTGGCGTTGTGCTGATCGATGACTTGGAGATGCTCTTCCAATCGGTGGATGGCCAGCTCGCCGACGGCTCCGAGATGCAGTTTACGTCACTTGGCAGCGCGTTGCTCCGACTAATTGACGAACGGAGTTTGCGCTCCACACGTTTCGTTGTGGTTGGGACGACTGCAAGTGCTGATGTGAACATACCATCTGCAGCTAAGCGTGCTGGAAGGTTTGACAAAGTTGTGGACTTGGTCGTCCCGACAGAACAAGGCCGACGAGACATTTTGCAACGGCATCTGGTCGGGTTGCCACTACGAAGAGGAGCAGACAGTGAAGGCAATGGTCATGCAGCAAGTCTAGCGTCACGGTTGGCGGCACTAAGTGGGGGCTACGTGGCCAAAGATCTTGTACGCATCTGTCGATACGCGACTGCTCAAGTGCATGCCGCATCGACTCTTGATGGCGATCCGACCGAGTCATCTATCGGATGGTCCGATCTATTGCGAGCTCAGCAGCACATCAAACCTTCTCAGCTGCGAGAGCTAAACGTGTCATCGCCTGGTGCACATGGGGATGGAAAGCTCGCTTTTGCTGGCTATGCTGCTGTTCGACAGCAACTGCGGGACTTCATTACTCGAAAATTCCACCCGACTGCAGCGATGAGTGTACGTTTGGTGTGTGAGGTGTTCGCATTGGGTTTCACGTCGTCCATTCGTTGACGATCCTGATCTTTGTAGCGCTTGTGCATTTCCGAGGCGTCAGGGATATTGCTGTCAGGTCCATCAGGCTGCGGTAAGACGCTGCTCGTGCAAACTCTGGCAGCTCAAGCCCGAGTCAACTTTGTATCCGTGAAGGTGAGTTGAGCTACATTGTCTTCCTATAACCTGTGTGACAACAACCAGTAGTAGGCTCATCCTCGCGGTTTATGCATTCGACTCCAGTCATCAGAGTTGCTGTCCAAGTACTTTGGGGATAGCGAAAAAGCAGTTCGCCAGCTCTTCGGTACGTCTTTGCCGCATTATACCCAAGTCTGTCCAGGAGGACTGATTGTGTGCTTACAACTGCTGCTTGCTCGCAGCTCGAGCACGTGCCGCCTCACCGTGTCTCTTGTTTTTTGACGAGTTTGATTCCATCGCTCACAAGCGATCGTTTAGTGGAAACGATGGAGGCAGCAGTGGTGGAGGAGTCTACGCCCGAGTGCTTTCCACCTTCCTCAACGAGATGGACGGTGTGGGCTCGCAACGAGTTAGTGTATCCACTTCACATGTCAAGAAGTCGCCTGCTGTCGAGAGCGCTGGCATCCTTGTCGTGGCTGCCACCAACCGGAAAGATGCGCTGGACGCTGCCCTGATCCGTCCTGGTCGAATGGACAAGACTGTCGTGTTGGGATTTCCAACGCAAGAAGATGTTGCGGTACGCAGCACCATTACAAGTGGTAATCTGTCAGGCTATAGTAACGAAGCGATGCTTGTGCCAACCAGGAACTTCTTGCGGTTTACACGAGAAAGATGCCGCTCGCTACAGACGTTGACATCCAAGAGCTTGCGGCGCGACCGAGAGGGTACAGTACACTGCACTCGTGTCAACTACTACTGCCGAAAAGCGTTCGATTCAAACTCTACTGACCTCGCGATGCTTGTTCATCACAGCTCTCACACATTCACGGGTGCTGACGTTGCATCAATTTGCAAGGAAGCGGCCTTCCGCGCCCTTCGCGAAGGCGTCGAGGCGAAGACAGTATGCGCACGACATTTCGAGGCCGCATGGGACCAGCGCGCTCGAGAAGCCCCAGACGCCTCCGAATCGGACTCGTGGACTATCAAGCCATGAGGTGGCTGTGCGCTGAGCAACAGTAGACGACGATATCGATGTCCAGCCAGCGCTGTCACCGGACGTCAGCGTGGCGGAAGTGGCAAGCGGTGTCGCGGTATCATCTTCAGCACTTGACGCAAGTCCTTACTGCGAGCTAACGTTACCGTTCTGGCTGACCTTTGACGCTTTCGCACTCGGTCAGAAGCCTCTTGTTCCTCGAGTTCGCGTGATCGAGATCGCCATGCCTTACGCTATGTGCCAGCTCCCGTTGATGCGGATGCAGCAGGAAGACTGGTCTCACGTTCTGAGCTAGCTGGACGAGCATCCGATCGAGCAAACACGGTTTCGAATGGGAAGAAGGCTTGCAGGAAGGGATGAAAGAGTGCTTGCTTTGCAGTGACTCTCGTGGCGGGGTTGACGTCCAATAGACTGCAAATAAAGTCGTGAAGCTGGTGGTTCCCGGGAGCGGCGGCCTGTAGACGTGCTTGCAATGTCTCCGCTTGCTTGTCATGGCCAACCCTTTGGCATTCCTCTGCGGCTTCTTCGTTATACCATGCAGAAGACTGATACGGGGCGCACGTAGCATCCAGCTGGACTCCGTTTGTCACGATGCGCTCGATCTGCTTCAAGAGATGGGCGTTCTCAACCTTGATGACGTCTGCCCGCTCTTGCACCGACGTCTCGAGCGGTGGCGGTGTGAACAGCGGTTTCCCTGACACGCATTCCAAGAGGAGGCAGCCGAGCGACCACATGTCCATGGCCGAGCAGAGCAAGAGACCTGCTGCCACTTCTGGAGCACGATACGTGACGGTCTGCACGTCAAAGCCGCCACAAGCGTCCGCGTCAGCATACGCCGCTAGCTCGTTTGCACCCAAGTAGTTGCCAAAGTCCACCAACTTGACTGGTGACGAGCACGGCAACGACGTTGACGCCGACGGGCTCAGTAAAGCTTCTGGACTTGACTGCACCACGTTCTCTGGCTTGACGTCTGCGTGGATGAGTCCCTGGTCATGGAGAAACGCGAGTGCTCCGCAGAGATGCACCGCCATCTGCCGTATGTCCAGTAACGACACAGGTGGTGCCAACAACCCAGCCACGTCAGGTCCATCCACGTCCTGCTTCCGCTGCTGCGTGCTTGCTACAAGTCCATCAGGAGCAGACAAGTGCCGCGTGCGGTTCAAGAGCTGCAGTGTCTGGTTTGGAGCAGCTCGAGCTCCACTGAGCGCGTGACGCCACGGACTCTACCGTCCCACTTCGAGCACAGGAGGCCCCAGGAGCTCCGGCACGAGACAAAAGTGACCTTGCTCCTCGAACGTGGTCAGCAGACGCACCACTGAAGGCAGAAGCAGCAACCGCAGCAGCAGCACAAGGAGCAGGTGAGAGGGAGAGGGCGACACAGATGATGAGCGAGCGAGCGAGCGTCCTCTCTTTGAACCATTAGCCACAACGGCCGAGTACTACGTACCGGCACAAGCTCCGTCCGCGTCCTGGTCGTTGATCTGCCGCAGAATGGCCGCTTCCCGCTCGCCCAATGCGTTGAGCTCTTGCCGGCGGACGCACTTGATAGCCACGTGGCGCTCGTGCTGCACGTCCAAAGCGCTGGGAACGAAAGAGCAGAGAGAGAGAGAGAGAGAGAGATGAGGGGACATGGGACGAGGAGGACCGACTGAGTGGACAAGCGTCGAGTGTGGACTTTGTACCGCATGATGACGGCAAAGGTGCCGCTGCCGATGCGTCGCAAGAAGCGGTAGCGGCCGTCGTGGAGCAGTGTCTGGCCTTCGACTAGCGTCTGCATGTGTCGGGAGCTCGACTGGTACGCGGTCGAAAGCACGAGAGAGAGACGGGGGAAGGAGGAAGGAACGGAGACCTGCTGTGTGGTCGTCGTTTAGAGTTAAATACCGATCGCGTTGGGATCATCGTCGTCGTCGTCGTCTCACTTGCTGCTGTTTGTACCAAGCAGTGCAGCCCGTAGGCGCTGGACTTCCGTCTCGAGGTGTGCCGTTTCCTGCTGGGACTGATGCAGCATCCACCGGAGCGACTGGACCTCCTGCTCGTACGTCTCGAGGCTCTTGACGTGCTGCTGCGGTTTGCTCAATCGACCAGCGCCGATGCGTTTGTCCTTGTGCTATGTTCGGCAGCTTGCGGTGCACAGTGTCTCAACAAAGAGCAACCAGCAACGAGAGTGATCCAAGCGAAATGAAGTTAGGGAAACGCAATAGATTAGGCAAGCAATAAACGAGTTTTCATAGACAACTAAGGCAATTGTAAACGTCCTGCAGCGCTTGTCGCGTGGGCTTGCACACCACCAAACGATGACCGACGAATTCAGGACCTCGAATCCGCCTTTGAAACGTCCGAAAGGGCAGGCCATGTTCACGATTCATCTGACCAATGACTTCACAGGTCACAAAAAAACACGCAAAAAATCACAACAATCTAAGAAATTTAAAGATTCATGCCCACTCTTTGATAAGTACACACACAGTCGAACTGTAAGATCTTGTAGCTAGCCTTTGATTGAGTCTTTCGCTTCGAAGAACTGAACAAGTTACAAACCACTATACAACATCAGTCACTGAAGGGTGAGTATGACGTTTTTGATGTCTGTAGTAATTAAGTACAGTATACTAGGGCAACGCGGTCAGACTTTGCTTGTGAGCATCTATCATTTTCTCATGTGATCAGATACGACTTCAATCGATTTTAGGCCATTCATAAGCGTGCGTCACAATAGTAACCCCGCCAACGAGTGACTTGGGATACACCTATACCTATCTGGGGGATCGAGTACACATACAGTGCGCACCACCTATACTGTAGTGGAGCTACACAGCTCCTTAAGCCAGAAAATGACTTAACGCTCGACGAGCTACTTAGTTCTAAAGAACTAGAATCAATAAGTCAACAAGCGTAAAGCTTATGGACATTCTTCTATGGGACCAAACAATTCAGTGAATCGACAACACTCAGTGCTCAAGAGTAACTAGCTACCTCAAGGAGGTGTTGCTAACTCTTAGTGATCAGTGATCAATGACCAAAGACGCCTCGCAAGGCACGTGTCTTTATGATCATAAGGGGAACTAAATTTTATTTACATTTACACCTATTGAATATCCTAATACGTATCTAGACACTTACATCCTAAGTTAGTACAACTAAGATCTCTCCTATCTATAAGTTGACACCAGTCAGCCCCTATGCATCGAGTGGTAAGATATTCTATTATCTCTTTCAGTGGAGTTTCATCCGTGTGTCTAAGACACAGGGTACAAAGTATGTGACGGGGTAGTCCGTTACATGAAATTGACATCAAACGGTGTCAATAGGAATATTGTTATAGCATGACAGTATTCTACCAATATTATCCGAGATGGATAATATCGAAGGAATATTATCCCCTTTTGGATTATATCCAAGCGCTGCTCCAAGATTGGTTGATATAAGACATGTCAACCACAGATTACCACCAATCGCTGCTAGACGCCCGCAATGAGTGGTGAGCAGGTTGTCGTCATACGACGATCGTAGTTTAGATATAGTTAGATAAAGACTGAAGTTACATTGATAGCTTAACTATATTAAATACAGTTCTCTTTTTTACCTTTACTTGACCGAGTCATTCAAGTAGTTTAACTTCCTCTGCACGTACATGTGTACGTGAAGTTTCGTGGCACCGCTTATCTATCAAACCAGAAAAAGGGTGCCCCGTTACACCTGGTAGCACTTCGTAGTCGGTCCAACGACTACAGTGTCACGTCCAACATGAACATGTTGGACGTAGAAGACGACAGCTTTCACGCTACACGTGAAGGCTACTCCCATTTGAGCGATCTCAGAATGGGAGGTGGTCGGCCGAATGAGTGTGCTCATGAGCGACCCTGCCATTAGCGGTATGCTGGAGTCTCTAAATAGAGACCATCAACATGCTGCTATCAACAAGTTCCTTCAAGATGAATTTGCCGTGGAACGAGACAAACGATAGCCTTGCTTCACACAACAAGGTTCTCAACAAGCAGAGTTGTTGAGAGAACAAGGTGCTCAACAGTTTGAACTGTTGAGACAGCAGCAGGCTGCTGCTGGCGGGTCGATGCACTCGCGTCGGCCCGAGACTTTGAAGATTGACATCTCAAAGTATAGGGGGTCGAAGAAGACTCCCTCTTGAGATGGTTCGTCGAATTGGATGACGCCATAAGGGCGCGTCGCATCGACGACGGGGATATGCAAGTTGCATTTGCCCAGTCAAATCTGGCAGGACGTGCCAAGACTTGGGCACTGGGGCTCAAGCTGCACGACCCATACGCGTTTGGGTCGTTGGAAGTCTTCAAGTCGCGGCTCAGACAAACGTTTGAACCGCCTAGAGCTGAGTTCAGGGCTCGAACCGAACTCTTGAAGCTCAAGCAGGGTAAGCGTGATGTGCACGCTTACGCTCAACATATACGACATCTCACGAGTTGTATAAGTTCCAATCCGGTGGATGAACACACGTTGGTTTCGGTGTTCATGCAGGGTCTTGCGGATGGTCCCGTCAAGACTCACCTGTTCCGGCTTGAACTAGATTCACTAGAACAAGCCATTTCCATTGCGGAGCAGGAAGACTTCAGTCTGAGACAGGCTCGCGCCAGCTCGACATCATATCGTCAACCGAGACGATATGACAACGGAGGTCCAGAGCCGATGGAACTCTGTTATGTAGAGAGCGAGAAGGCTCGCTCTACAGACTACAAGAAGTTGCAGAAATGCAACAGATGTCAAAAGACAGGACACTACGCTTACGAGTGTAGTGCCCCTCGTCCAGTGTCTCGCGACACTGGGCGTAGTGACCGTCCACCCATGAGAAAGGGGCAGGGACGAGGGTCCGCAGTTGGTGCAAAGACGCAACAACGGGATGGACCGTCAAAAAACGGACAGGATCAGTAGGTGCGGAGCACCCTACTGATCCAGCAACGTCAAGAGAATTTGTAGGCCTCTTGATGAAGGTTGCTCCCAACACACAGACATTGTGCGTTGCTGCTCTAGGTAATGAGATCTCACTCATTACCTTGAAACTCGAAGTGACGAATAAGTTGTCCCTTCGAGCTCTAGTCGATTGTGGGGCGTCCAACAATTTTGTGCGACGCCAATCGCTAGAAGATGGTCACTTTAAATTCAGTGAATGTGACACACCTCCTACGAGGATGACGGTACGTCTTGCGACAGGCGCATCCGTAACCGTCATGAAGCGTATAGTGAAGATTCACTATACGCTAGAAGATACCCAATACGACGATGACTTTATCGTATTGGATCTGGATGACAAATTTGATGTCATCCTTGGAATACCGTGGCTCAGAAGGTACGAACCACGGGTAAACTGGCAACATCGGACAGTAACGATGCCTGCCGCTTGTTCATCAGATGGCCATCTGATGAACGTTTTGGAGAGTCCACAAGCGTGTGGATGTACTACGAGTGAGTGCGATGGCCTCACTTGTGGTACGGTCGTTAGTACGACTGCACAAAACCTTAGTGTACCAAACGGTTACACTTCGGAGCAAAGTTCCGGCGGCTGTGAGGAAACACAGGCTGCGCCGAAGGTCCACCACTCGAATAAGTCGGGTGGACTGGGACAAAGATGTATCCCTAGAGGGGAACATCTAGAAGAGAAACAATCGATCGCTCAGGTTAAGCGAAACGATAATCCTAGATCGACTGGAGAGTCTTTCGTAGAGGATCTCGCTGTGGTTGCGCAACCCCAGCTAGAGGAAGTAAAGGGAATAAGTCCCAAGATTACAAATACGGCGGAAATAAGTTCCCCGAAACCCGCGGGAATAAGTCCCCGGGAAGACGAAGGAATAAGTCCTTCGAAGCCTGAGGGAATAAGTCCCCAGGAAATGACAGAGACATTGAATGTCATAGTCAATAACGGATCATGTGTAGGCGCTTATACACTTGATCTGATTGCGCCTCCGAAGTTAACTTCGGAGATCACTCAGTTGCCAACGCTCGAACATAAAAGATTCTTGCGTGATCTGCGTAGTGGCAAAGTCAAGCAGATCTGCATACTCGTCGCTGAAGACGAGTATGTAACCCGACATAAGGTCAGCAACAGTGTTTACTGAGAACGAGAGAGTTCTCAGTAGTTCATCTATGGACGAGAGTGTCCTAGATGAAAAGACACGAATTGAGCGATATGAGTCCCAATCATGGGAATCGCTCAAGGAAAATCCTCTCTATGAAGATTTGGTTGAATTCAAGGAAGTATTCCTGAAACTGTTCCGTGCGAATTACCGAAGGATAAAGGTATTCGACACGAAGTCGAGCTTAAACCAGGCTCGAAGTACTGTGTCATGAAGCAGTGGCCACTGCCTCGTGAACAAGTACTTGCGATCGACAAGTTCTTTGCCGATCGTTTAGCAGCGGGCCATGTGAGGGAATCAACTTCCCCACATAGCTCTCCGACCTTCTGTGTGCGAAAAGCAACAGGAGGGTGGCGGATAGTGCACGCGTTTAACAAGTTGAATGCTGCAACGGTACCGGCTCAGACGCCGATACCAAGGAAGGACGTAATCATTGATGGTATGTCAAAGAGTACCATCTTTTCGTCCATGGATTTGATGGATGGCTTCTATCAAATCCTTATGCGGGAACGGGATATACCCTATACCGCAGTTAGCACGCCTAGCGGCATGCTCTGGGAATGGCTAGTAATGCCACAAGGGCTTAGTAATCCCCTTTCCACGTTTAACAGATGTGTATCACATCTGTTGAGACCAGTACGAGAATTCGCGCCGAGTTATTTCGATGACGTAGTCATCCATAGTCGAGCTATGGATGGAAAGTCGGATGTTGAGGTTCACAGGTACCACGTCCGACAGGTTCTTACAATCATGCGAAAGCATCAATTGTATGCAAATCTCAAGAAGTGTATATTTGCAGCAAGCGAAATACCACTTCTTGGGTGCATCGTTGGTAAGAACGGTGTACGTCCTGATCCCGAAAAGATCAAGGCGATCACCGACTGGCCCGTGCCGGTCGATGTCAAAGGTCTTCGAAAATTCCTTGGGCTAGCGGCGTATTTGCATAAGTATTCACGCAATTACGCCGAGATGACTGTACACCTCTCTCGTTTGTTGAAAAAGAACGAGAGGTGGTTATGGAACGCTGAATGTCAACGCTCCTTTGAGGGTATCAAGCAGAGCTTGATACAATCCCCAGTCCTAGCAATAGCCGATCAGGACAGGCCATTTCATGTGGTCTGTGATGCCAGCGATTTCGCAATCGGCTGTGCATTAATGCAGTACGACCTTGAAGGCGTTGAACGCGTCGTCTGCTATCAGTCGCGTCAGCTGCAACCAGCTGAGCGGAACTATCCAGTGCATGACAAGGAACTCCTTGCCATGAAGTATGCACTCGCGAAGTTCAGAGTCTATCTATTAGGAGATAGACCCCTTCGTTGTTTACACTGACCATGCGTCCTTACGCACGGCAGTGAACAGCCCGCACCTTTCACAACGAATGGCGCGGTGGTTGTCATTCTTTGCAGAATACAACTTTACGGTCGAGTACAAACCAGGACGACTTAATGTCGTCGCTGATGCACTCTCACGTCGTCCCGACTTTGAAACAGTCGTGCAACCCAACAGTGAGACAGTCACTGTTGCGGTTATGACGTCCTCAGTTCCATCTACAACGTTGTATGATGATGTGAGGCGGGCATACGCCCAAGATGGTGAGATAGTGAAGTTGTTGTCACATCTCTCCCAACCATCTCGAGAATCGTTGAAACGATTGTCGTCTGCGTATCGATCTGCATCAGATCGATACACTACTCGTAACGGTTTACTGTACTATACAGCCGTTTCTGGTGACACACCACGTGTTGTCATTCCAGATGATACTGATCTGCGTTTGCGGATCATGTTCGAGTATCACGATGCTCCTATAGGAGGACATCGTGGCCGAGAGAAAACATATCTCACGGTAAGTCGAGACTTTTACTGGCCCCGCCAGTATCAGTTTGTGCGAAAGTATGTTCGCGCATGCGAAGTCTGCCAACGAGTGAAGTCAAGTCCTTCACTGCGTGCACCTTTACAGCCTCTACCGGTTCCGGCTGAGTGCTGGGAATCCATCTCAATGGATTTCGTCTTCGGGTTACCCAAAGACGCACGCGGGAATACGGGTATTCTCGTATTTGTTGACAGATTCAGCAAAATGGTACACCTTGTGGCTGTACCAGAGACAATCACGGCAAGTGGCTGTGCTTGTGTCTTTATTGACACCATCTTCCGACTTCATGGGTTGCCCCGTGAACTCGTATCAGACAGAGATCCACGATTCACTGCTGATTTCTGGCGTTCCGTGTTCAAATCACTCGGAACGCGCTTGAAGATGTCAACATCTGATCATCCAGAGTCAGATGGTCAGACGGAACGTGCCAATCGTGTCCTTGAAGAGATACTTCGAGGATACGTACACTCCTTTAAGAGTTGGAGTGAGTTTTGCCGATGGTAGAGTTTGCCATCAACAACTCGGTGCATGCGTCCACGACACATACACCGTTTTACGTGAATGGCTTGCGCCATCCGCGTGTACCCACCTTACTAGAGTGTAACTCTGGTTTAAGGGGGGGAGGGACTCGCGCGAGCAAAAACCGATTTGGTTCACGCTCATCACGCTCTGACGAAGAAGTCATTGCGTTTGATGCCGATATCGATAACATCAATATCGAAGAAGATGATGCCAGTGAGAGCGCGGAGCCCTCACTGAAGAAAGGATTGATGTTGCCGCAGTGCACTCACAGCGCACTAAAGCTAACGAGTCATCAGATCTGTTGCTGCAGTGCACTCACAGCGCACTGAAGCTAACGATTCATCAGATCAGTTCATACTGGCTCGTGAAACGGTAGTCCGTTTTGTGCAAGACTCCATAGCCGAAGCGGTGGATAAGCAAAAGCAAAAAGCTGACAAGAATGGAAGGGCAAACACTCTTTTATTTAATAAAGGTGACTTAGTCCTACTGTCTACGGTTAATCTACCAAAGCATGTAGTGACTAACTTGGGTAGCAGTAAACTACTACCCAAGTACATTGGCCCATTTCGTGTATTGCACCGCCTAGGCAATGCATACACGATCGAGTTACCACGTAAGATGCGAACGCATCCCACGTTTTACGTTGGTCGGCTTAAGCCGTACCATCAGTACGCTGCTTCTTCCGATGAAGAACGCCCCTTGCGCTCAAGCATCTCGCAGAGAGCCTTGTGCTCCCGATGGTGGGCATCAACAAGGGTCTGAAGAGCAGTTATCTCAGCCCGAGACCGATCAACAATCCCACGAGCTACCCTTAGCTCGTCACGAAGAGATGTCAGAGATCTCTCGTTCTCAAGCTGAGCAAAGACAAACTCAGCTCGATGCTTCGAGGCAGTGTCCACCATCTGGAGACGCCTATTCCGCTCATGCTCGAGATCGTCGCGTAACCCTTGCGTTACGCGATCAAAGAAGCTCTCGGGAACACACCGATCCCCATGATCGTGTGGAGAGCGTCTTTCCTCCTCCTCCACCTCCATTAGAGGACTCTCGCGGTGGCCAGCGCTATCTAGTAGAGCAGCTGTTGAACCACCGCGACGTGAACGGACGTCGGACGAGTTACCTCGTCCGGTGGCGCGGCTATCCCCCGTCCTGGGATTCTTGGGAGCCCCGCTCCCAATTGATGGTTGACGTACTGGGTCTGGTCGAGCAGTACGACGCGACACATCCTGTGCCGCAGAAGGACCGCCGGAGAAAGTCTTCCCGGCACGGTCGTAAAGGGATTTCAGGTTGTCAATCCCTTCGTACATCTCAGTAGAGACACGTACGCGCCACCACGGGCTGGTAAGGAGGTAAGCCTCCTTAGGTGCTCGTGCAGAGTTGTTCACACAACATGGGCACGAGTCTCCCCAAGA